GAGACAGCAAAGTGGGGTGGGGCGGGGTGCAGTTGAATGAAAACATAATGATGTTGATGGTGATGATGATGAAAACGAAAATGAGATGATAATTTTGTGCCAAGTATGCCAGACCAAAGGAATGGCATACGAAAACAAGGTGAGATGATCCGTCCGGGGTAGGTTCCCGCTCCTTGCTACGTCAGACAGGAAGGAATGACGTAGCCCGATATGAAATGTTGAAATGAAAAATGAGCTAAAATGAGGGTCTCGCCAGCTGCCCACGACGGGGCCAAGGCGCAGACCAATTCAGGTACTTTTTCCGAGGGTGCAGGGGAGAGCTTCATTGGACGGCCGTGCAAACATGTAAACATGCATGTCGTTTCAATGAAATGCAAGGCAATGCAATAGGGAAAACCCTCTGTTCCCAAGTGCTAGGGCTAGGGAAGTTCACACACACACACACACGCCCACGTGCACTCGCACGCGCACGTCCGATGCTGGGGTTTGTTTTTGCTCCAGCTTGATGCCGGGCAGAGTGTCCTCCAAAGATTGGTTTTAGTTCTTTTAAACGCCAGGTCAAGTGTGTTCTTGCATTGCAGCCTGCAGCCCAGCTATGCCCAGCTGCCATACGGTGACAATCACAAAGGCTTCTGCGAGTGCAGCAGACCCAGGTGCTGCTATCATCTTGTCACCCCAACTTTTTGATCCCTTGGGTTGCAGTCTCAGTGGGAGTCGGCTCTGTGCAGCTGAGTTCTTTTGCAGCCGAGGTGCAAAATATGTTTTCTTCGGAAACGTGCCGAGCAGATGAGCTGCTTCTCGTGAGGAGGCCTCGCCTTATAGAACATTTGTTGTCGTTTGGGCACCTGCTGCCATTTGTTCGCGTGCTTGCCAAGTTTAGTTGTCAATCTCTCATGCAGGATTGTTGCATCGCGCCCCACTGTCGCGGACGAGCTGGCTGTAAGCGCCCAAGCTTCAGATGCAGCCTTCCCTACGATACTCGCCACTTCACAACCAGATGACAGGAAAAGCTGACGACGAATGTTCAAGCCGCGTCCGCCACTCGAAATACTAAGCCTGTGGCGTGTTCTTGATGTTTTTGCAATGGGATGCATGGTGCACCAAGACCAAGCCCTGCAAAGCTCCGTTGCAGAAGACCCAGTTGCGTCTCTCTTGACACATTGGCACTCCCGGGCTTCTTTCTGCTCTGGTATAAGGCTTAGGCAACATCGCCAGGCCGCCTCGCCAAACTCTCTCTCGTGTGGGCCTGTCGTGTCCGCCGTGAGGCTGATGCCAAAGGAGAAACTTAAGGCACGGTCATGCAGTGCTCCATGCATGTGCTGCTGCTGTAAGTCTATCTGAGGTCATGTGTGAGATGCTCCGATCTATCCTGCGATCGGTGAGCTGCTGAGTAAGATGCTGCGACACTGTGAAATTGCCTCTGTTTGTGTGTGTGTGTGTACGTGTGTGTACGTGTGTGTTTGTTTGCGTGTGAGTGTATATCTTGTGTGTGTGTGTGTGCTGGGCCCTCCATGCTGAACTCAAGGACAGCTTTGATGCAGCTACCCGGGCAGAGGCATCCAGTCCACTTACTATGCAGTGCCGCCACATATCGATACATGCTGAAGGATTCGCCGCGGAGAGTCGGGGGTCTGTGACGGTGACAACTTGTGTTCCAAGTCGGAAGTCACGCCAGAACTTGACCGAATAGCTGACATCCAGCTTTCTGATCGGGGGTGGCAACTGCTGGTCGTGGTCATGTGGGCTTTCGACCCGCATGGCCATGGATGGAGACTCGGAAATCCCTTCATCAATCCCAAACTAGTAACATGTGAAATCAGCGTCTTCAAGATGCTGTGGAGGCTTGGGCTGTACATGCCTGGTGCTGCGAGCGGCTAGGTGACCAGCTGGGCTTTACTGATTTTCCAAGCCTCCAGAGCTTGCTGGCAGGTGACGTCTCCAATTTCCGTGTTGGCATGCGCTATGCCATCAAATACTTCGTCCCACACTTAGTGAGCAGCAAATCGTTGCCAAGGGTGCGGTGCTTTTTGCTCAGGACAAGTCGGACGTCATGGGCACTCGAGTCGCTCTAGTGCCCCCCCGCAATACGCAGAGCCGTTCTGCACTAAACGGTCGGAGCGGTCGGTCTTCAACTGCGACCGTGCCTGTTGTGCGGAAGCCTCTGTGCCTCTGAGCGCATCATCATCACAGTTTGCTTCTTTCAGTGTCACGGCCAGGATCAGGCAGGTACTCTCGATCCAGAGCGTCTGACATGTAACACTGTCTCATAGTTATCAAGAACCTTTCAACAGCGGCATCAAACCTGGGGGGCGGTATCAGTGTATTGCGTTGTATGGCTGGCCATGTTAGTTGCTTACTGGGAATGTTTACAGGAACGTGCCCGTTGTGCCGAGACACTGCCAGCACAGCTGCAGGTACTATCCAGAGTCGGAGGCAAGTGTCGGGCCTCGCAAAAGCTTGAAACGGAACATGCCGGGAGTGGCAGGTGCTCTCTTCGAAGGGAGTGCTGGTGCGATCGAGGCCGCCTTCGGCGGAGTCTGCTGCATCTGCAGAGATGTGAACTTTAGGGTCTTTGCTGCGCGACCTGGCCGTTGAGGGCCTCGACCTCGCGCCGAAATGTTTAGCAAGTTGAGACCTCGAGCTGATGCTGTCTTTCAACTGTGCAGCAGTGCCTAGGCAGCTGGGCTTGCTGCGGCAGCGAGGGCTATGTCAGAGGATGCTCCAGTCCTTGTCCAAGACTGGCAGATACAGGATGCCCATGGATGAAGCATGATTTGTCGCCGAATCTTGAAGGGTTGGCCGCCCGCAGGGCATTGGACTCTTCATTTGGCTCACTTACTCCTCTACCAAGGATGTCCCTTCTCTCGCTCCTTATTTATTTATTTGTTTATTTCGGGCTCGCCGTAGTATGCCAGAGTCTTGATACCAACAATAATATCACACTCCCCTCTATTCACGATCACCCCATCGCAAAATTAGACTGTGCTGACGGAACTTTAGTGTCAACGACAATCGACCTGTGAGAAAGTCGAGACCGCAGAGACTGCATGAAATCAGAAAGCTCAGCTGCTAGAGAGGCTCAACACCGCTATTCGCAAGCCTTCCGATGCTTGTGGGCACGAAATCAAGCGTCCCAAATTATTCATTCGTGATAGGATTCTACGACAGATCAACGGCTGAGGCTATCGCAGATTCTCTCACCCACAGAAGAGCAATGCTCTAATCCATATGGTCCTATATATGGCCACTTGCTGATGAGCATTCGCCCCGCCTGCAACCGCTTACCCCACACACCCCACTTGGTTGCACCCCACTTGGTTGCAGTGCTCATTTCATCTCATTTCCGTCGACATGACGCATAGCTAGAATCATCCAGACTCCCTTGAATGCGTCAAGTCAGAGATGACTACAGCTCGCCCAAGTGCGTGTGTTGGAGCTCCTCGAACACACAGCGTGGCCGTAGCTTGTACTCCCCACATGCTGCAAAGCGGCCGCGTGTCTCCATATATTATACACCAGCATGGTAAGCCGATCTACTGTGATCTGATTCACCAAATCATCTGTACTCTACAATCCAGCTTTCTCGGATGCGCACACTTGTGCAGTACCCTAGACCCCTTGGTACATGGCAACTCCCAGTGGCAGCAGTATGTTCTCTTTTCACAGGTTTCGCCAGGAAGAGGAGCCAGCAGACTTGACAGGGCTTCTGACAGACGTGAGTTCATGACTGTTCAGTCGCGAGGCACACGGAAGTTTTAGGGTCTCAAGTTTCTGCCCCATGCCCCGCTACACAAAGGGCCTTTAATGAAAGCATGTTCCATGGTAGAAGAAACAAATACAACTAAACTCCTGACTGACCAGGATGTGCAGGCAGCGACTTGTGGGCTTTGCAGGAAGTGCGGGGTGAATTCTGTATGGCTTTCATGCACCTTCCGCTGGTGCTCCTAAAGTTCATCCCAGGCAGCGGTCCGTCAAGTGTCGCGCACCGCCGTATCCGCCTTCGATGAGGATTGCATACGCGTTGCACTTGTAGCAAGTGTGATGGTATGGTAACGGTCTGAGCTGATGATTCAGCCTTCTTTGTGCAGGGTTTCATTGCCCAGTCGGCACCAGCCTTAATTTTGTGCCGCGCTGGGCCGCACCCTATGTGTCTGTTGTGCATGCGTCTCCTGTGCGAAGGATCGCCTGGAAGTGCCATCAAAAAGACGAAGGTCGGCATGTCGAGCCTGCTGCATCACCTCGCGTCCAGTTGAATGCACGCTGATCGTGACAGGCTGTTGCAGTGCCTGGTTAATTTGCCCGACAAGTTCGACAAGGATGGTAGCAGCTGTTCTGTCGTACACCTTGGGCTCGACCGGAGACAGAGTGGAATTGAATCGGAGGCAGAAGGGGAGGAGGATATTTCACACTTGTGTCTGGTGCCCATCTGGTTGTGCGTGTCACACGACAGGGAAAATATCGACCGGCACGCTTTAGCTCCATTTGTCAGGTGAACTGTCTTTGTCCAAGATCAAGTCTTGGCAGTCTTGGCTCCAGTCACCGGTGTGATACTCGATCCTGAGAAGAGCACTGAACTGCACCTGGCCGACACTTCACGTCATTCAGGGAAGCCTTGCAATTGAGCGTTTTCGGACGTTCTTGCGTGCTGTGCTCTTTGCATGAGCCTACACATGCTGGGGAAAGCATGTGCACAGAATTTGAGCAGCAGGCCTCGAAAAGCGTTTACGAGCGCCGTGTACAGTTGCGAAGGCTTGTTCCCAACTTCATCAGTAGAGCTTGAGCAGGGGCGAGAAAGGCTGATAGTTTGTGTGCGCTTTCACGCAGGGCTGAGCTTTTCAGAACATGTGATCCAAATTTTTACGCCACGGAGTAGTCAGGCGTTTTCAGACCGTAAGCTGACCTTAGATCCTCGTGGCAGGTACCCAAAACCGAATGACGCTTCAAACGCAAGAGCTCGAATTGTAGATACTCAGTGTGTGGGGTACATCGGCAGCTGTGCCTAGATCTGTTCATAGGCAGTTGTCTGGTTTCGTCTGTGTTATTTCCGTCGATAAAAGCAGCTGCATCTATGCTCGTTGAATCTTTACTGGCGTGCTGCATCCGTATGGGTTTCTGTTTGTTTGGCAGTTCTCTCGTTGCAGTTGTCCATGACAGCATGCACACACAACTGCCGTGTTGCCTCAAGACCTGTTGCTGGCAAAGAGTAGACCGGCTGTAGTAGACAGCACAAGTAGTGCTTCTGAAAGCCCGCACCTGAGACCCGGTCTTGCTGCAGACTGTTGTGTGTTTCCGCTGGTCCGCGGGTTCCGGCCTTTCCAGCCTCCCCCCGGTCGTCCCATGAGAGCTTCGAACCCCGTTATGCTATTATAAGCTCCGAATGCCCGAAGGCCCGAAAAGAGATGCTCACCCAGGACGCATAGAACGTACAGTAATCGAGCATCTCGCATCCCTTGTGGACAGGGTGTCTCGAGCCTCAACAGGAAAATTGCCTTTCAATGGTCCGGGGCAGGCGCAGCAGCTTCCAACGAAAGGTAAATGTATGTCAGCACGCTCAGGCATGCCATCTTACCGCCATACCCGTACCCCGTGAGCAAGTGATATCCGCAGATGGGTCTGCAGAGTCCGAGCACCTGGAGACTCCATGATGAACGGAAGACTCCCTACCGATCCCACGAAAACCGGCACAGCAAAGAGACAATCTGTCCTAGTCGTTTCTTTGCTGTCTCAGATTGCTCCAGCTGTTTGCGGTCACCGCGACCAGTGCCCCAGCTTAGCCTTCTTCTTCACGTGCGTCCCAACTGAAGGCAGAACTGTGTGGAATCGCCCATGCGATGAGAAGTGAGGCAGGCGCTTTCTTGTTTCTGCCACCCTGAAGTGTTTTCCACGGCTCCACACAGGAGCAGCTCTGCATGGAGACAGAGCATCTAAACCAGCAAGGTCTCCCTTTAGTTGTGCTGTCCTTATCGGGGCGGGTGCCCATCAACGCTCCTGGAGTGTCGAGCTGTTGTGAGCCGATGTGATGAGTCAGGCTTTGTGTGACAGCATGCGCGAACTGACCGTGCTTCACTCGGTGACATGTAACCTGGGCGCTTTCTGTGGCTCAGCTGCATTGCCACAGGCCCAGCTCAGAGGGATCTTGGAAAAGCTGAGCCACGAGGCCATGTGAGCCACTTTCGTTGAGACTCACCTTGCGTGTTTCGATGTGTTTCGTGTCGAAACTTGGCTTGTAGGAACAAGCGGAAGCGCAGCATGCAGCACTCAATAAAAGCTGTCATCCACTGGTTGTGGCCTCCCTGGAGTTGGGCGATGGGGCGATTCTTTTCCCTTACAGCCAGAGGTGACTGTGCTCCCTAGGTGACTGTGCTCCCTAAGGCATCGCTTGCACAATTCATGCATCAAGAGGCAGAGCGCCTCGCGCCGGGAGCCGGAGAGAATGCCGAGCGGAAAGTTGAATTGCTATTCACAGTGTTTGCTGAGGTTGGATGGCTCTTTTGCCAAACTCATGTCGAAGACAAAGCTTACGGAGGCACGTCCTATACAGTGGAGTATGCAGAGCGGAAAGCCGACTTTGCCGGGCGAAAGCAGCTTCCCAACTGGGTATCAGCTCACGACTCACGAAGTCTTCGGCAGAACGCTCCCGGCTTTTGTCGACCTGGCCTCGAGGCCTCATTTGGGTCCACAGTCTAGCCGAGTCTAGCCATCCGCATGTGTGGCCTTGAACTAGTCTGTGTCCTTTTCTGTCTATATTTGAGCAGACGTCGGAATCTGTTCAGGGCCTGTCTAGATGCGTGCTGCTGACACTTCAGGACCCTAGGCCCTGTTCCGGCACTCGGTGGAGAATGCATATAGGATCAGAAACCCACGCCAAGTTCTGAGAACTTTAAGAACTCTCCCAGGTCTTAGCGTAAAAAAGGTACTCTCTCCATTCGCCAAAGCCTCGGCGCTACGGATCGAATCTTTCAAGGAGATCCAAGTGCAAACAGGCAAAAGGGAAAGCACAGAGACGCATACTTTTCCTGCTGCACCTTCCATTGGATGTGCATCCGGTCGCAAATCTAGACTGAAGCCGTGTCAAAATGGGGTTCAGAATCCTGAATCCATGCTGAATTCACACACCCTTTAGGTAGAATGGTGGAATGTCAATTGCTCGAATGTCCAGTCTCTCGCAGCTGAGCAGCTAAACACCAGACCAGTCGGCGACAGCATGGAAGGCACCCGCTCCAGCGGCTCCGACGCCAGTCGGAGCCATCAGCCTGTCGGGCACTGCACTTAAAACTGCCGCTGCAGAGTGCTTGCAGTCTGATGTCAAACAAAAATTGGGTTTTGCAATCTGACACCTGCTTTTTGAGGCGTCTCACCGTCGCTTGGAAGCCTTCAAGACTGGATCTGTGCATCTGTGACAAGTCTTCACGTCCTTTTGCCAGCCGAGGTCGAACTCCACTTCAGCGCCGATGCGGTCCCCCGAAGGTTTCAGAGAGTGTTGAAAGATGCCACACTGTTCCACAGAATTGTGGTTTGTTGAAATCGGGCGCACACAATGTTGCATGAGCAGGTGGCAACTGCACGCAAAGCACCGTATCCAGGAGCGGATAACGTGCTGGGTTGGTGGAGCAAAGACGTAGTGACTTCTTTCTCTGCAAAATTTCACTTGTCGACCGCAGGGTGAGAACTCGTTCCAGGCCCCAGCTCAGAGATTGAATCCCGATTTTCTTCGCAGTCTTTGGCACTGCCAGGGCGCGGCCTGCAAGCCCCAAAGAGTGTGGCTGCCCTGCTTAGCACTGATTGCATCAAGACCTGCACATCTGTTCTGACCAGCATCTAAGAAGAGGGAATTTTCTTGTCTTGGGAGGTCGGAGTCTGAGACTGTTCGGGGTTTTGGGCCTGTGTGCCGGTCCTACGAAGTTCCTCAGGTTGAAGAAGTGGCTTTGCCATGTGCACACCCGTACTGCATCAGCTACTGTTATTAATCTGCCGGGGGCAGAGGCTTGTCGTTGAGGCACTCCCCTTGAACCAACTCTCCTTATGCAAGCACTTTTTGCGGGGAACAGTGCCAGCAAGTTTGTACTTACATATAGGGGCACACGGAAGTGTGGAGCGACGCTCCGGCTTTCAGGATGTCTACACTTGATCATGGCTCTCATTTCTGAGCCCATCATGGTCTCGCCACCTTTGGGCGGTCATCCCGCTCACGCATGGAGATGCCGTGCAGGAGGTTTAACGTCGGAAGCAAGACAGCCCATGCAATGCAAAGGACCCCTGCGCTGCCACGTTTGCTCCTTCGGCGGGTCGGAAGTAACGTCGGCCCGGCGGCACCCAAACCGAAGGACTCGTCTACCCAAGGGCAGTACAACGTTCGGGTTCCTTCAAACCATGCTGGCACACCACCTAATGTCTCTTTCAGTCAAAAGCTTCGATGATGCAAATTCAAAATCCGCTGAAGGTCTCTAACCTTCACCGGTCAGCTGACATCGTTTGGCCGACGTCTGTCGGTGGCGCCGGGTGGCGCAAACTCTGTCGGAGCTTCTGGGCATGAGCTTCGTGTCGCACCTGCACCCAACTCGCGGTGATCTGCGTGCTGCTGTAGTGATGTTTTCAGAAGCAAGCTGCGTTGGGTAATAATGGCCCGTTTGTTCTGTGCACACATTCATATTTCGCATGGTCCCGTGTGGCCGGAGCCCTGTTATTTTCCCACCCGCCCTCCCTTAGATCTCGCGGTTTCCATCGTGGTTTGTGAAGTGGAACTGCATTCGGATGAGTCCGGATGAGTGGGATTGCTTTGCTTCCACTCTTTGCCGATGTGGCATACATGATGCCACTGTCTCTGATGCAGTGTGATCTTTACCTCCTTTCACTCTGTGTGAATCCTTCTTGAGTTCATTGCACTCGTATGTTGAACACCCACACACCATCGACGAAAGCTCCGCTTACCGTTCTGAATGTCGAGCGGCATGTGGCTCACGGTCTGCGAATCTTCCGGCGGACCACGGCGAAGGGTCTGATCCCCTCGCCTCTCGAACAGCGGATCTTGACAGCACAGTGGCATAGTTGATGCACCGGAGCATCGGTGCCTGGGGTGGCATCCGTCCCGCAACGAGTAGAACAGTGAGAAGGGGTTGATGTGGGTGCATTCGGGGGTCGTCGTGTCGCGTACTCAGCTTATCACGTGCCGTTCTGACGGCAAAACCGACATGTCAAAACCAATGCTGCTCAAATTCCGAACCGCCATCGATGTCAATCCACGCATGCGCTTCTTGGACTGTCTGCCAGACGCGAAGCCCAGCCTCAGCGCAAGAGGGCAGCATCCAGGGAGTCCGGCCTGGAGTGGTCGCCAAAGACATCAGTTGCAGGGCGTTGACTTCTTGTGACCCTTAAGTCGGACAGTCTGAACCACTGAGGCGAGAAAAGCGCCTGGGCTTGGTCGGCATCCCGGCAAAAGTGGAGGCGCGCTGCGTGAGGCAAGTCGAGTCGACCTGCGCTGTGGTGGATTTTGTGAGGCCGGCCTGGGCGTCTCTGGTAGGCACGCGGTGATGGTCATCTTAGATACTTAGATGCAAAGGGGTGTTGCGAATCTTGCACCGTCAGGAGACGCTCACCCTGCGATGAGGTCCAAACAAAGGGAGAAGCCCTCATGTGCCTTCCGAAATCGTCCTCTTCCAAGGTTGCTGATGCCTGCAAGCCCTCCCAGGGCAAGCGTGTTGTCCTCGGCTTTGACTGCAGAAGGGCAGCGACGGGCATCTGGGGATCGGTGCCAGTCGGACAGTCTCCAAGGCGCTGCATCCGAGCGCTCCAGCTCCAATAAGGCAGGGCTTCCGCCCAGCACTCCATCTTCGTGCAGCGGCCGCTTGTTGTGCACAGGCAAATCAGCCGAACACAGAGAAAAAACAAGACAAGGCGAAGTGCAGTTTTGATTTGTGTTAGGTATAGCATCTGGGCAATTATTGGAAGTATGAGCCACGAAAACTCCAGAACAAGACCATGCAGCGCGCAGTTTTGAGGCTTCGCAGTTTCTGTGCCTTGGGAGAGTTGAGGGTGGCCTTGTTCGAAGACCTGCCAACTTAGTGCGTGGAGGCGGGCTTGTCCAAATCAGCATCTCGAGCAAGGCCGTCGACGTTTGTGGGTCTTTCGGTTCAGTCATGGGAGAGATTATAACGACGAGTCTCGCACTGGCTGCAGGCCACAGACGATTTCTGCTGTCGAGGCCCTTGCTCTGCAGCATCCATGGCACCACGATACGCATGCTCTTTGGGAAAATGGAAGGTGGCCTCAGCAAAAGGGTGCGAAGGCAAACAGCAAGGCCTAAAATGTTGCCAGAGGCTGTGTGTTTAGCTTGTACTCTCGGTGCCGGCAAGAAGGTGAGCTTTCGCGTTCTGCTCGCCGAAAGGATGCAAACCAGGCATCGTCCTGCTTTGGAGTTGACGGCTCATGCGATTTTATGAAACCTGCAGGAGAAGCGTACATCCACTCCCGTGAGGCAGATGGAACCAGTGTGCTACAAGTTGAGTATTGATCCGGTAATGTGGGGATGTTGGCTTTTTGGATGACAACGAAGCATACGACGACCATTGCAGCTCGTTCACTTGTTCCTGCTTTGTTCCGCTTGTACGGAGGCACTTCTGCTGCCAGTACTAAGTAGTGGTGTTTCTCTCAGAAGCCCTCGCTGCCTCGCTGTGCCGGGTCGTCTTGCTGCAGCCAAATCGTGCTTCTTTGTGCTGGGGCTGGGGTTGCTTTGGAGCTTAGTGTTCATGGCCAAGAGGAAGGCCCTCGAAGCAATCTAAAGAGCTTTTTGGTCTGCATTGCGGTCAACAGCGTGCACTTGAACATGGACGTCATACCAGGGTTGCGGTCGTGGATCCCATGGGGACCAGGCAAGCATGGCCGATATATTCGGGTGCGGGCATGGATGCTGCCATAGGTCGGGAGGCACTTCGCCATGAACGTTCCTAGGGCAGTGTGAGCATGCCATTGGAAAACAGATGTGATTAGGGCTGCGGGCATCCATGCTTCCCCGTTCGCAGCGGTGCGAGGAACTTTCGAACATAGACGCTATCAGGTATGAGCATGGATGCCCTTCCAACCGGAGCACCGTGCGTGCTGTGGGCCAGATTTTTGCAATTTTACCACGCACGGAATAATGACGTTGGCCCCAGCCATACCCACGAGATTATCGACTTTGTTTCAACGTTCTCCCTGATACGTCTCCCGCATCCTAACAAGTCCACCGAAGTCTCCATAAGACTGTAACACGATTTGAGCTGAAGCTTTGACCGGCAGTTTCTTCCTTTTTGTCGCTCTAAAGATAGTTCTTTTTGAATAGAAGTGTCACCGAGAGCCCACAAGAGATGCTCCAAGCGGAGCAGAATGTCAAGCCGCCAAGGCGGGATTCGCAACCTCAGCGCAAGAGAGCTGCATCTGGGGAGTCGGGACCAGAGTGGCGGCCTTAAAACAGGACTGTCGGAACGCTGTCGGAACGACATGTCCCTTCGTTTCGGCTAGCGAGGCGTTTGAAACGCTTGGGCCTAGTTGGCATCCCACCAGGAAAGGCAGAGGCCCAGCTTCCATAGATCAGACGCTGGGCATTGTCTGAGGGGCTTTTCCCTGCAAGGCCATGGGCCTCTCGGGCAGGCCAGGACGGCTGCGGATGCAAAGCCGCCTTGTGCAGCTCCGCGCAGCTCCGTGCAGCATTTGCAGGCGGCGGCGGCCCTCCGAAGTCTCTGACAAAGCCATCGAAAAGATCCTTCAGGCTATGTCTGCGACTGGCTGGAAAATTTTACGAGTATGGTCTTCACGGATTGGTCGTGACAGTTCACACTGTTGCGTGATCGGGTCTTCATGCCTTTCGAAGGACAGTGAGCCGCTGGGCTCGGGTATGTATGCGCATACGTGCCTTCGATTGCCTGTGCATGCATGCGTTCATGGATGTATGTATGCAGTATGCAAGTATGAGCGTACGTACGTACGTACGTACGTACGTACGTATGTATGTATGTATGTATGTATGTATGTATGTACGCTACCTACACGAGCGCGTGCGAACTAACCGTTTCCTAGACCCATATCACTAGTTACGTAAATCATAAAGTGTTATGTATATGCAGGTATTTCGTTCCTTCGTTCATTCATGTCGTTCCATCATTCATTCACGCCTTCAATCGTTGATTCGTTGATTTGTTCGTTCGTTCCTTCGCTCGTTCACTCATTCGTTCGGTTCATTTGTTCGTTCATACATGCATTCATTCGTTCATTCATTCATTCATGCACTCGTTAGTTCATGACCGATGTCATAATTAGCTGATTGCCTAATCATTTCCTAGCTGGCCAGCTAGCCAGCCAGCTAGCCAGGCAGCCCGCCAGCGACCCAGCAACCCAGCAACCCAGCAACCCAGCAACCCCGCAACCCAGTAACCCAGTAACCCAGCAACCCAGCAACCCACCCACCCAACCCAACCCAGCAAGCAAGCAAGCAAGCAAGCAAGCAGGCAAGCAGGCAGGCAGGCAAGCAGGCAAGCAGGCAAGCAGGCAAGCAGGCAAGCAGGCAAGCAGGCAAGCAGGCAAGCAGGCAAGCAGGCAAGCAAGCAACCAACCAACCCACACCAAGCAACCAAGCAACCAAGTAATCAAGCAAGCAACCAAGCAAGCAACCAAGCAACCAAGCAACCAAGCAAGCAAGCAACCAAGCAACCATAGCAACCATAGCAACCATAGCAACCATAGCAACCAACCAAGCAACCAACCAAGCAACCAACCACCTTGAACCAACCAACCAACCACCCAACCAACCACCCACCCAACCAAGCAACCAACCACCTTGAACCAACCAACCAACCAACCAACCAACCACCCAACCAACCACCCACCCAACCCCAACCAACCAACCAAGCCCAACCAGCCAACTAACCAACCACCCAACCAACCAACCAAGCAACCAACCAACCAACTAACCAACCACCCAACCACCCAACCAACCAACCAGCCAGCCAACCAGCCACCCAACCAACCAACCAACCAACCAACCAACCAACCAACCGACCACGCAACCACCCGACCACCCCACCACCTAACCACCGAACCACCGAACCACCCAACCACCCATCCACCCAACGACCCAACCATCTAACCACCGAGCGAGCGAGCGAGCTAGCTAGCTAGCTAGCTACC